TGTGTGTGTGTGTGTGTGTGTGTGCGTGCGCTGGGGGTCTGTAGGTCTCACCTCTGAGCCAGCGGAGGAGGTAGTGGTCGTGCTGTGCAGGCAGGTTGGGGAGGATGTCCTGGATCCTCCCACGAAACTGGAGGAAGAGAATAAGAAGGAATTGAAAGTTATATCTTTGGATGTTTTCACTTTGATTTCAAAATCATCATTTAATAATCTAAAGCTCTACACTTTGGGGAATATTTGCTTTTTGCAGAGAGTAAAATAAGAAGAGCGATACTTTAGGACTGTCATGATATAAGATTTTCAACATGTGACTATCTCGGCTAGAAGAATTCACAATAACAATACTATTCCAGGATAAGAGATTTTATGCAAATGTTTACGATGCTGTAGCCTGAACCAGATAGTTAACGCATCTCGGCAGAAACAAATAAAATATATCTGAGATGGGCTCCAATAACATAATGTCAAAATGTAATTTTTTGTATGAAACTAATTAACCATAAATATCTCTCTTAATGTGATGAAGTGATGTGACTGTGATATAGAGTGAATTATATTCATTTTTGTTCGAATCTTTTCTTCTGTTTTAGTTTAAGAGGTTGGATCCATGATCTTCATGTCAGTCATCTGTTTAGTGTGTTGTATTTTATAATCTTTGTGTTTTTTTATTGGAGATTTTTAAACATAGTTAATTCCCTCTGAAAAGCAGTAAGTAACAACATCAAGTTGTATAAAACATAATTATACTCAACTTGCAAGTGCAAGTACCTGAAACCCGAGTAATTCCAGCACTATGGATACGAGTCAAGAAAACTCAAACTTAACACAATGTTACTATGGACACACAACAGTCACTGGTTCATAATAAGTGATAACAAAACAAAAGCAACCAGCAGAGCTCAAAGTAAAACCAATCGAATCTCACAAATCACAGATACAGACTCAGTCCTCCTGGATAGAATAATATTGATGATCAATACCTCTGTTAAGATTACCGCCTGTCCCGGGCTCAAGTCTCCCACTCGTCCACTCATGTTTCAGCTGAAGCTTTGCTCTGACAGAGGCTGAGTCTGTGAATGAGCTGCAGTGGAGGGAAGTGGAGGTAGAGTAGTGAACCCCCCCCCCCACCCGACCCAAACACACACACACACAGTTTTTGCTAAAGGCTGTGGATTGCGACACTGACTCAGTCGCCCCATGTCTCCTCGTCAGAGATAAGCAGTGGCAGAAGAAACAAGGGAACCCAGGCTGCTGGCATGTTTAATGATTTTTCACTTCTCATTAATGCTAAGGGGGACTCAAAGTGTTAAATAGGAATAATTAAGTTGCAATTATAACTCATGCATTAAAGTAAAATCATACACATTTCATATATAACTGGATTGTA